CTTACCTTTCTCTGGCTATGTGAATTAAGTTTGCAAAGCACAAACGCTAATCTCCCTACCTCTGCCAAGAGGGAAGGAAGGAACGGACAAGCAGTGTGAATTCCAGTAACTTGATTTTCCTCTATTCAGCAGTCCTGATTGGGAAAAGGTTACAATGATAGGCTATTGAGATCCTCTCCTCTAGACAAAGCTAAGTATTTATTATCGAAGAGAAAGTACTTCCAGTAGATGCCCTCTTTCTCTCTAAAGATTTCCCCTTTTATTTCTCTTCCAAGGAGAATTTCCTCTGCAAAGAGGACTAGCACCAATGAGTTCAAGTGGATACTGGAAAGACCAAAACCTGACTGGGGTTATCTCCTGTATTTGCTGAAAGGACCTTCCAGTATTAGCTGAGATTTTGACCGCTCAGATGCTGGGGGATGGGAACTGCTCTGCTTCAGCACGACAAAAGACCACCCCAGCAATAGAGCCACAAAAAGTGTCGATTGGAATTGAAGTCCTTTCTCCAGGAAGTAATTATCTCCGTTTGGGGTCTAGAGACCTCAGAGGCAGCATAATCAGCCAGTTGGACGGGTGGGTTGTAGTAGGAGGGCATTTTAATCAGCTTGCCTGTCAGTCACCTTGACAGCTAACACTGAAGTATACCGCCAAAAGCGGAAGTCTGGATCAGCCAGTCACACTGAAAAACCAGGAGTGAACTGGCTGTTATATTGCCTGGATTGCAAAAAAGGAGAGACAACCATGGAAAATTGTCACCTGCATGTTTCCTTTCATTTAATTCTAGACCCCCATTGCCTTTCTCATCAAGCTACTAATTTTGTATGCATTTCCTCCTAAGAAAATTGTATAGACTTCGTGATACCAGGAATGCTTTACTGTACCTGTTCAGACACTTGTAGAAGAGCATTTTACATGTCATCTTCAAGAGAGTATACCAACACCCCCCCCCAAAAAAAAAACAAACAACCCAAAGTTAAAAAAACAAAAAGGTATGTAGATTCATGGAATTGAGAAATCAGTGCACTCTTTTTAGGAGCAAAGGCTGTGAGTTTTGTGGGAGGTAGTGCTGTGGTCCCCGCCAGGTCAGAGCAGGGCGGGAGCAGGGAGGAGGAGCAGTGATGATCCTGTGAAGGCAGTGGGTGTTTGAGAGTCTGTAACAGTGTGTGTATCTGACCGGGTGCTGGTCTCATGTGGGCCCTTGCTTTATTGCAATTGAAGGAAAAATTTCCACTTTGTGTACTAGAGTTTGCACGTATGCTTTCTCTAAAGCATTTATTTTTTGTTACCACCTTCCAAAACAAAACAAAACAAAACAAAACAAAACAAAAGTGATATGTAGTTGTTACTTAATATGGCCCTTCTAGCCATAATCTCCTTTGCCACAACACACTTTGTGATGAGCTGCAGATTCTAACCTCGGTGCTGGTGGACATGATCCTATTTTGGAGAAGCTTCTCTGCTATGGATCCCTGGGGGCCTGGCGGGATAGGCATTGAGCCGATAACCACAAGGCTGGCAGGTTGAACCCATGGGAGAAAGACAGAACTTCTACGCCTTTAAAGAATTACTTAGTTTCACGAATCCACAGGGGCAGATCCATTCTGTGCTCTGGGGTCACTATGAGGAGGAATCTAGTACCTGGCCGTGAGTTTCTCTATTATAGCATTAGGGTGGGATGCATCTTTAGACCCTACTTTCCTGGAGGGTGGGCCTTGAGTCACTATCCTTGGTTTTCCCTAGGGGTATGCTGGACTGTTCCTTTGAAGCAAGGGTGGTGAGACTTCATCTCATGGAACGGGATGAAAAATCCACAGGGGCAGGAGGGGCAGCAATTGCTATACTATCCACGAGATAGATTGACACAGAGTTTGCAACAATGGACTCAAACTTAGGAACAATGGCCAGGCTGCCACAGGACCGGGCTGTGTTTTATTCTCTTGCACTTAGGGTCGCTCTGAGTGGGAATTGACTTGTGGCACCTAACTACAACATCACGGTCAGCTGAAAGGTGAAAAACCCATCTCCATAAAAGCCTTCCCTTGTTTGTGACCTCCCTTTTCTGACTGAGCCTTGATAGAAGCAAGAAGACCTGGACATATGCCTGACCTTTGAATTTGGGACTTCATGTAACTTGAAAACTGTGAGACATCTGAAAGTTTCCTGAGTTTCCATGAGATGCTGCAGTGAATTACAGAACCCAGAGATAGGAGGGGATATTCTAAAGGGGAGAGTGGGGGAAACAACAAAGCAAAACACTGAAAGAAAGGAACAGGAAAAAAAGTGTGGGGATTTAGATAATCTTTATTCTGGACAAAATTTAATGAAATGATCACATGGCAGCAGCTGATAAAATGCCTATTAAAAACCTCATCATCTGATCTGGAGGGAGTTGGCTTGGTTTGATGCTGCTATGTGCTTTGACGCCTGCATGTGTCTCTATACTCTATCTGGGCCAGTGCATGACCGGCAGTTTGAAGCCACCAGCAGCTCCCCGTGAGAAACACTGGGCTTCTACTCCCGCAAACAGCTGCAGTTTCGGAGACCCACAGGGGTGACTATGGATCAGCATTGAGTCGATGGCACTGGGTTTGCTATAACTAGGTAAGATGAAACAAAAAATACTAAACCAGCTGTTGTCCAGTCCCACAGCTTTTCCAAAGCTGTAAATCTTTCCAGAAGCAGGCTGCTTTATGTTTCTCCATGAAATAGCTCGTGAGTTCAAAACCACCATTTCGGTTAGCAGCGAGGCATTGAACCACTGTGAACCATGTGTCACCAGCGCTCCTTCAGGTAGCATCGGACACTTAAACAGTGTCTCAAGCACCGTGCATGCAGTGTTGTAAAGATTCTTTCCATTTATCACTTGTAAACATTGACTTCAATAGTTAATTAAAACACCACTGTCAGCAAACAGGGCTCACGTTCAGGACCATGTATTTTGAAGGCCATGGCTATGCTGTGCTTCCTGCCAGCACCGGCAGTTCTCTCCATGCAGCCCCTATAGCGCACTACCAGCTCCCCACCCCCTTTCCGAGCACTACTCAAGAGGCATGGGCATTGGTGGTTCCGGGGTAAAACTGTTTCCTTCCAAGGACTCTACTTCTGGTTAATTTTTAACCAACGAACTGAATCAACTGGGATCCTTCTTAGTCCTGCCAGGGACCCCTGATTCTTTCTCAGTTGTGAAGCAGTTTTCAGGCAGGAGAGGCAATGCTTTCCCAGGATTTAGCTAGTCCTTGATTTCCTTAGCTCCTCAGCTGTCCCTGTTTGGAGTTAAGAGCTCCAGGCTCAAGGACTCCGGGGCCTTTTGGTTGTTCTAATAACCCTGCTTACTAAAACCTAAGGTCTTTCCCCCCAAGTAGCTCAAAGCCCAACTAGGTCAAAGTTGAGCATCTCCCTACGAGTCTTTTGGCTTGCATTTTGCCCAAGACCATTTCCTTCTGCCTTCCTTGCTAGTCCATAGAGAGGCAGAGGGTGTTAAGAATCACTTCACTAATTCAGAGCCAATTAGGAAGCTTTGTTTTGACCCCTGACTGCAAGGTCTCAATGGCAGTCAGTTTAGAACCTTCCCCCCTGTACTTCCAGGTATTTAAAAGCTTCCAACCCAAACCAAACTCACTAACAGTTCCCAATTTGGGTACAGGTGGTACGTACACGAAGCTTTATTACCAGAACAAATGTTGGCTTTCAATTACGCAGCCTTAGGTAAGATTTGTTATCTTTAAAGTGATTTTCTTCACAGCTAAGTTTTCTTTTCTTTTCTTTTTTTTTTAAATCTTCATATGGTAACTGATCTAGGGTCTATGACTGAACCTGGGGTGGTAGTGGTGATATTACTTTGTAAGGTGACCAGATTTTAACATTGGTAAAGCGGGACACCATTGATAAAACTCATATCCGGGCGAAACAGCTACATGGCAGCTGAAAACCGTATAACCTAGCTTGTCGTGCATTCTTTCCAAAAATCAGGACTGTTTAAAATGCCGCGGGATGTGGGAAAAATTGTTAAAAATCGGGACTGTCCTGCCAAAAGCGGGATGTCTGGTCACCTTATTATGAAATGACCTTTTCCAAAGTTTAAATGACTTCCCCTTCCCTCCCCACCTCGGGAAGGTGCTGGGTTCATCTCACATGAGAGTTATGAGAAGCTATGGTTCTGGTAGTGGATCAGAAGGAGCCAGGTAGGCGCACTGGTTGTTTCAGTTCATTGAGAAGTTTTTGCCTTCTGTAGAAAGTAAATTAGTTTAACCATGGGCTACTTGAGCCCTGGTGGAATAGTGGGTAGAGTTTGGCTGCTTAACAGCAAGGTCATTAGTTCAAAAGCACCAGCTGCTCCATGAAGGAGCCAGATTAGGCTTCTTACTTCCATAACGATTTCCAGCCTTGGAAATCCACTGGGGCAGTTCCACTCTGCCCTAAAGGATCACTGTGAGTTGATCCGATGGATGGCAATGCATTTCTGGGCTACAAATATACGTGTATCTATACTAAGTTGGCAGTGGGTTTGGATTGGATTACACACCACACACACATCAAAAGTACTGCGAATGTTTGCTTTCGAGGGAGAAGGAATGCTCGGAACTTGGAAAGCATCAGGTGTTCTTCTTCTTCGGTTTTGAGGGAGGAAAACTTTATTTTTTAGACCTTCCTGTCTCAGACCCTTACCTTTTAATAATAGGATCCATAACGTGTGAGGAACCCTTGGGTGCAAGCAGTTAATGTGCTTGGCTGTAACAGGAAGGTTGACTTCAATCAACACACAGTTAACTCAAAAGAAAGGCTGGCAATCTACCTCAGAAAAATCAGCCAGTTCTGCTTTGACTGACACGGGGCTCAGGAGTCAGGGTCTACCCCCTGATACCGGGTAGGCGAGTTAGCCTTAGCTGCAAACAGTTATTTCATCAAGTGTGATTTCAGTTGAACTTTTTCGTGGCCCGATATTGAACTGCGTACTTTAGAACAAGCCAGCCCAAACCAACTTTTGAGCTAGCCTCGCTTACCTGGTTCAATGGTGAGAGAGTAGCTATCGATTTCCAGGTCCAGTTGTTGGGCTGCAGTGGAACGGAAATCCTCCAGGACCCAGCGCACGGCCTTCGTGAGGTTATAGGGCACCGACTGAGCAAACTGGATCTTGCTATTCACAATCACACTCCCATTTCTGAAGTTGAGGATTTTGAGTTGCTTAAATCCCGTCAGATTGGCTTGTAGATATGGAACCAGCTGCAAAATGAAAGATGGGTTTATTCTTAACTGTTTTCTAAGTGCTCAGCTGCTGCTAATTCCATTTTTTTATTATCTGTGGCATAAATTTCACTTCCTCATTATTGTTTCCTTCCGTGTGAGGCCAGAATGCCGCTCTGTAATGATCTCTTTGCAGTGACGATGTTCCATGTTCCTTACCTTTCTCTCTGAGTGTTGAGATAGATGGGCAGTGTTTTTCTTCATGATGAACTGTGAGAATAAGGCCTTAAAAAAACAAAACAAAAAAGGGGAAGAAAACCCAGGTCAAACTATTGGCCACGCTAGCGTGCCAGGCTCAGTGATTTAGAAGAGTCCAGGTAAATAAAAACAGGTTCCGAGCTGAGCTCCGCAGTAGACGGACCCACACCTGTGTAAGCGGGGCATCTGTTTGGAAGCAACCAATTTGAAAATGACCTGTTGACGGAAACAACGGCGTTCACATCAGCCAGTCTGCCTGTGCAGGGGCTCTTGCATCTTCAACACCACCGCAAGCAGCGGAAGCAGTGACCAAGCTTGGCAGCGGCTCCTGGAAGTGCCCTCCGCCGGCGGCTGCGTGACCTTGCTCAGGCTGCATGACCGGGGGTACCAGGCGCTCTTGTTTGAAGTGTGAGGAGAGGACACTCGACAAACTGCAGTTCCATCATCTCAAAAGTGCGCTCCGGCAGTTTGTTTTCGTTTACCAGATCTACCTCTTGTGAGCTACCGTCCTTTGAGACTTCTTTCTTTCAGCAATGTTCTGAACCTATCTATTTACATGGCCCTTCGCCTTGGCCATCCGGCTTTGGATTCTGGTAGGAGCTCCCAGTGTTATCCAGTGTGCAGACGGTTAGTTTTCCTTCCTGCAAGTCCATTTTCCTGTTCTTCATAGGAAAGTGATTGTCTCAACCTTCCTGATGGCGTGGCCCTTTCATACAGTTCCTCGTGCTGTCGTGACCCCCCCCAACCATGAAATTATTTTTGTTGCTGCTTCATCACTGTCATTTTGCTATGTTATGAATCGGGCGACCCCGTGAAAGGGTTGCTTGACCCCACAGGTTGAGAACCACTGAATAAGGGAGCGGGTCTCAGGTTAACTTGAGTAAGTTAGAATGGTCTAGCTTGAGACCGCATTTCCCAGCCTCACGTGCATCAAGTGTGGCCAGACGACTGGGTCCCACCAGTGAGATATGAGTTGATGTGATGTGAGTCTCGTCGGGATCACTTGTTCATAAGGCAATTGCTTACCTTGGGCCTACGCTCTTTAGTCTCCAAAGAAAACACAAGCATGTGGTATTGACCTAGTTTGACCATGTGGATGAGGTCAGTACCCTTGGCATTCACAGAGCTATAAGATGGGATAGGGCAGAGGTGTTCCACCAGACTATGAAATGAAAGGGAAATAAATCTGGATCTTAGTTAAATATTTATATTCTTGGTATCTTCACGATGGCAGGTTAGTATAGACCTGAGTTAATACACCTGGATGCCATGCACTGGGATTCTGTTCGTGGGACTGTTCTAATATGGACTAATCCATATTAGAATCATACTGTATATGTTCACTTGAATAAGTTAGGTTTCATATGGATTTTAATTTGTATAATTATTTAACTTGTATGAATCATACAAATGATTTTTTTCCCGTGATTTTCAGAAAGTCAGCATTCTGTGTGATACGCACTGTGTGTTGCTGTTAGGGGCTGGTGGGCCAGTCCTGTGTGCAGTAGAAAGAAACGGCTCTGGGGCTGCACCGTCCACACAGTCTCTCTGATGTCTCTGTTGTAGCACCGTGTCTGTCTCTGGAGAGTCTTCCTCTTCCCCGGTCCCTCTCTATCAAGCACGATGCTCTTCTCCAGGGACAGGCCCCTTCTGATAACATATCCAAAGTTTGGGAGACAAGTCTCAGGACCTCTCTTCAAAGGAGTATTTCGGTTGTACTTCGTCTGAGACAGCCTTTATTTTTCACTCTGCTGGCAGTCCATGTCGTCGTCGTCATTAGGTGCTGCCGAATCCATTCAAACTCACAGTGACCATATGTAAAGAGCATGAAACACTGCCCAGCGCCCTGCCATTCTCACACGTGTTAGGTTTGAACCCGTCGTTGTAGCCACTGTCAATCCATCTTGCTGAAGGTCTTCCTCTTTTCCCCTGCCCTTCTCTATTACCAGGGGTGATGGCCTCTTTATGGACTGATCTCCCCTGTTAACATGTCCAAAGCATGTAAGGTCAAGTCTCATCCTCCTGGCTTCTAAGGAGCATTATTGTTCTACTTCCTCCACAATGCATTTGTTTGTCCTTTTGGCAGTCCATGGTGCCTTTACTATTCTTCATCAGCACCAAAATCGAAATGCACGATTCTTCTCCAGTCTTCCCTATTCAATGTCCAACTTTGACATGAATATGAGTCGTTCAAAATACCATGATTTGGATCAGATACGATGTGATAGATAACTCTGTCAACTTGAAGATATATACAAGTGGAGGGATGGTGTCCAACCTGTCAGTCAGGGCACAGCCTGGTGGTGTCTCTTTAGGGGTGTAGCCTTCTCATAAGAAGGGCCTGAGGGACCTCCCCTCACCCTACGTCCCCCATTCACCTTCCTGTTTGCTGGCCACCCTGACAGCTGCCAGAGCCTTGTCATGTTTTCACAGACCTTGGCTGCACATGACATTGCAATCACTGGCCTGTGATATTTCTGCATTCTGCATCACTGCGTGTGACTGTGAGTCTGAAGAGGGGCTTATGCACTAGTATCGGACTAATGGACTTCAGTTGAACTGGGCTGGGATGTTTTCTTGATATATAATTACTCCAATTACTTCTTGATCTAAAGCTCTTACACAGACACGAGTGCACTGGATTTGTTTCTCTAGTCACCCCGGCCTAACACACCCACACACCTTAGTCCTCAAAGTAACATCCTTGCTTTTCAACACTTTCAAGAGATCTTGTGCAGCAGATTTACCTAATGTAATGTGTCCTTTGACCTTTGACTGCTGCTTCCATGAGCATCGATTGTGGATTCAAGCAGACAAAAATGTTTGACAACTTTAATCATTTTTCATTTATCATGTTACCTATTGGCCCAATTGTGAGGATTTTTGTTTTCTTTACGTTGAGTTGTAATCCACATTGAAGGCGTCAATCCTTGATCTTCATAAGCAATGCTTCAAGTCCTTAATTTTAGCGAGCAAAGTTGTGGCATCTGCATATTAAAGGTTGCTCATAAGCCTTCCTCTAATCTTGATGCCTCAATCTTTTTTTATCTAGTTAACTTTTTCTAATTATTTGCTCAGCATAAAAATTGAGTAAGTATGGTGAGAGGATACAGCCTTGATGCATACATTTCCTGATTTTTAACCATGCAGTAATCCTTTGTATTTTTTCTTATCAGGGGAGAGCGTGAACGCAGTCCCCCACTACCACAAATTATGCAGTTGAGTTTCCCACATTTGGGGAAGTCGCGGGATCAGCACATCCAGAGTGTAATGGACAAGCCTCGCCCCGGGAAAACCACCCTCGTGATCATGGTATCTCCCTGCCAGGTGAGTACCCCTTGTATTGTTTACACAATTGCCTTTTGATCTATGTATAAGTTCTGCATGAGCACAATGAAATGTTCTGGAATTCCCATTCTTCTCAAGGCTATCCATAGTTTGGTATGGTTCTCATGAAGAAAATTAAGCATCATATCCTCTTCTGAATCTGCTGGGTGTTCACAATATATTTCATTTTCTTCACAAGCACCACAAGTGAAATGCATCAGTTATTCTCTCATCATCATTATTTATTATCTGAGTGGTCTTAATTAGACCTCATGGTGTAGTAGATGAGCCTGGTGGCATAGTGCCTCATGGAGTTGGGTTGCTAACGGTAAAGTGAGTGGTTTGAGCCCGTGAAAAACTCTAGGGGGAAATATGAGGGATTCTGATCCCAGAGAGAGTGATCATTGTGGAAACCCACCGGGGCAGTGTTCTGCTCTGTGGGGTCATCATGGGTTGGAGTCAACTCAATGGCACTGAGTTGCTGTTGTTGTTTTTAAGCGTAGAATTTATCACATAGTTCAGGTTTCTTATTTTGCATGTATTTCACATTGTACATGTAGAAATCAATTAGACATATGAGTGGTGGATTTGATATCTAAGATACATGCTATCATGGTCTTCTATTCAGTATTTTTTTTTTTGGTTAAGGTGCAGGGGTAATAAGGTAATTAGTCATTTTCTGGTTTACAAGAACTTAAAGGGAAATAAAAAATGATTCCTTTGTACCTTAACTCTTTGTCTTATTTGTGAAAAACCACACTATATGTATTTTCTCTGGTAAAATGACTGGGGAAAAGCTTGTGGTTTTAAAACTTAGGAAAAGCCCACTCATTCTGTTGTTAGATCCCATGTTCAATACTTGAGTGGCTATACATTATTCTTGGGCAAACTAAATTGAAAAGAATTTTATTGACATTGTTTATTCACAGAGCTCTAAGAAAGATTAGCCTATACTTCTACTCTAGCGCTCACTGGTCTTATTGGATCAGAATGTATCTCAACACTGTAGATAAGGACATTCATACATTGGTCTCAGAGACCTGTCTCTTCTAAACCCACATTGCTTACAGTAGTAGAGATTATATTATAATAACAACAACAAGGAAACCTGAGTCTCAGACAAGATTGTCAGTAATACCCACTCACCAGCTGTGTGAATCGTTGTTCCAGAGCTTGGTATTCCGGAGAACTCTTGTTGAATAGTTTATTGGAAAAGGGCATGTTAGCAACATGCAGACTGAAGAACACCACCAGCGCTTGGCTCTTGGCAGCAGTGGTCCTGGCACTAGTGGTGATATCCTGTACTGGGACAAAAGTGGTATTCTCCAAGAAATGATGTGGGGTAGGCACATACCCGCTCTGTGTTGGCACCTCAGAAGAGGCAGGAATGTTGGTCAGATCCATTCCGAGGTGTCTGATCATATCTTGGTTGTCTGTACTTAGCCTGCTGTCTTCAGAAGCTCCCGGGGAATATGAAATTCCCACAGCAGATTGGCTGCTAGCTGAGTAACCATCAGTGGGGATGGTTATCCCCGGGACAAATGCCGTTGAGTCAATGGCCACTATGTCTGTGACACCTTGCTCAGTCAGAGGGAAGATCCTCGATCCAGCAAAGAGATGTTGAATTTCTGACCGGGAGCTTGCGGTCATAGTAGGTGGAGACCAAGAACTGTCTGTAGAGGAAGCTCCTGAGAGCAATTTCATTATGTCCGAGCATTGCCAAAGAACGAAAAGGGAAAAAAAGTTAGGTTTAACTTTAGAAATATATAATGTTGACATTGGTTGTTTTAAAGGTCATATCTTAAAAACAGACAGATTAGTTTAGAAATGCCAGGCAGTCCTGTGTCCAATCCTATAGAGACAGAGCGTAGTGGGTCTCTGTGCCTCTACTTTGCTTAGGCTCGAGCTTCCTGACTATCAGAGACTGAAAGAGCCCTAGTATCCTAGAATGTCCGGAGCTGTTGCCAAGCAGGTCTAGCACACCGGCCAGGTCACCAGATGGTGCCATGCTGCAGCTGGCACTGCAGTAGTTTAGATCAGCCCTGTCAGCTCCAAGCTCAATAGCTGCACACAGTTTTGATTCAATCACTTGATTCACCTTCTAGTAATGAAATCCTGCAGGTCTTTTTGGATCCCCATGATTCCATTGGTAGCTTTACTACTTAAAATTTAGATTATGTTTTCCAAATCTGGATAATCTGACTGACCAATCTGTCAATTTGCAGATAGTATTGCTGAGTGTAAATATGCAGGTGGCATATAGTTTGAACTTTATTTTGACCATATTGCTATTGTTGACTTGATCCTGACTCACAGCAAATCCATGTGTGCAGACCACATCTGCTGCATAGGTTTCCAAGGCCATGACCTTTGGGAAGCAGATCACCTGGCCTATCTTCTGGAATGCCTCTCTGTGGGTTTCAACCGCCAACACTTGCTCCACCATTTGTGTCACTCAGGGACTCCTGTTCTGAAGAAACAACTTGCTAGGTACTCGGTCACATTCGAGGGCTTTGTCGCCTTCACATCAGTCTCTGATAATTTATTGCTTTCTCGTCTAAGTTCACTTTGGACCCCTAAATTTCACTCCCTTCTTGGTGCAAAATTAAAAACCATGGAGGATTTTTGACCTAAGACAGTGGTTATATGAACTAGCAGATAAAAAGATTGATGGATTATTAAAATACTCCAATAACTCTAGATCCAGAGGCACTGACTATATTTAAGGCATTCAGTAGATCGAAGCAGGGAATTTTCTGTGATTATCTTGGTGGCATTTTGGCAGCGCTGTGGGGAAGCTCTACTGAAATCTAAGTGCTAAACATGAACGGATTGTCTAGACTCTAGAGGCAGACACACTCTTTGGACCCTCCATTAGCTTTTGCTACAGCGCAGCCACCAAAACCGAAACACCAATAAAGTGCTGTGAAAGGTGGAATTAAATTAGCTGTGTTACTTTGCTAGACTAAAGCCTGACTGTTGGTGACTCATGCCTAGACTTGAGAAGCACTCTCTATTTTTTCACCTGGATAGAACACCTAGGTGTATCTACCTGTATTTAAGCAAGCAAATGCTGGAAACGCGATTTCCAAACACCCAAGCACTTCCTGGATATACCCTTGTGGTTTTATTCACACCTCTTTGGAAGAATCTGGGAAGAGGAATTGGAAATATTTAGATATTATCAGTGTTTGGTTTGACTCCTTTGTGCCATGGGAAAATGGGTTTGGATCTTCGTTGCTATGAGGTAGCTTCTAGTTTCTACAAGTGGCAAGGGTCCGTGACAGCTCTCAGGAGCTGCTGGGAGAGCGGCTCGCTTGCTGGGTTGCTGACCGCCGGCCAGCAGTTTGAACCCACCAGCTGTTCTGTGGGACAAAGGCAAGGCTTTGTACTCCTTTCAAGATTTAGTTTTGTAAATGCACAGGGACACATCTACTTAGTCCTATAGAATCGCAAAGAGCCAGGATTGACGATGGTCGTGAGCTTTTGAGTTATTCTCGGCTTGACCAAGAATCTCATGACTTAAACCTGTTTCACTGTCCAGACTTTTACCGACGTAAGATAGGTGGCTGCATCAGGTCATCACCAACAGAAATGAATTTTGAATTGAACCTGTAAGCTATTCTTCAGGAGGAAGAAGAGCCAGTCCGATTCGGTAAAGATCTAAAGCATTGGAAGCCCAGGGAACAGTTCTACTCTGTCATATACAGTTACTATGAGTCAGAATCAATGAAACAATAGTGATTTGCATTTTCTGGTTTTGATGGCTTTGTGACATGTTAACATTAATCATTCACATTCACAAGAACCTAACGGCATAATTTCATGGGAAGAAAGTTAACTGTATAAGTGTTTGGCTGCCAGGTGAAATACAGGATGCCCAATGGGATGAATCTATACTTAAAAATGATTTACTGTTTGTTTGAGATTCAAATTTAACCGGCCATCTGGTATTTCTCTTTGGCGAATCTAGCAGATTCATTTACAAGCGTTTTTTACACTTGATCTTAGCCAAAAGGTAGAGAAGTGATTACAAGTGTTTTTTAAGGGTTCATTCCACAAAAGATTTGGCTTGAGATTGAAGCAACTTAGGCTAGGATCAAGTCCTGGGCAATGAAAATATCATCCAAGCCTTATCACCCCGTGTAAATGTGCTCCAAATAATTTTGTTGACATGGTCTTTGAATAATCAGGCACTCAAATACTGAAAGCCAAGGCCATTTATTTCATTATGAAATATGCAAAATAAATAGATTCTAGATAAATCAGTTTTTAATGATGTAATGCTAGAGTACATGTGGTGATTCCCAGGATGCTGTGTGGAATGCTTTAATGTTTGTGTGTGTTATGGAGGTGCTGGTTAGAACCTGGTCAGCTAAGTGTAGAGTAAATGGTTATTTTGATTACTTCTTGGGTAGGAGGCTCGTACAAAGAAAGGCTAAGGCCAAGATAAAATGGTCTAACCCAAACTAGATGATGTTATCCAAATGCACTGAAGCCTGGGTAAACCGAGGTAAGTTTCAAAGGTGAAGATGGGCGCAGTGAAGTGAGTCAGAAGCTGTCATAAGAACCAGAACAAGCATACATAATTCCAGGTCTGTCCACTGACATTTATGACTATCTCCCCACTGTTCCTGGGGGGAAGGCCGGGAACTGCCCCGACTAGCCTAGAGTCTATTTTTGGGGGCTTCTCAGGGGCTTTGTGGCTTTTCTTTGCTCCTCTTGCTGATCTGTTGTGTCCCCTTCTTGGATTGCCCTGCTGTGGGGGGTTCGGATGGGACTAACTCCCTGCTGTGTGTCCCCAGTATTGTCCTCTGGCATGGTATGCTCCAGTGGGGGGACATCAAGTCTTAGGCATTGTCCACCCGACAGTCCTCTGTGTGCGTTAGCAGCTCCAGCACCATTATCTTCAGTGATCTTTTCACGAAGGTGAGTGTGGAGCAGGGCCATGTTATGAGAATGAACCGTTCCTGGATTAGGCCAGACTCTGTCTGCTCCCACAGTCTGTTTTGATATTCAGGTGGCACAACCAGCAAATTTAAAATTTTATGTCATCCACATCCATCCTTATTTATAACAACTAGAAAGTTATTCCTACTGTTTGTTGAATATCATGAAGTTAGAAAACTAAGTGTCTATTACTCATTCATATACTAAATTTATAGATATTGAAAGCTTCTAATATGAAGCACATTGTTCCAGGTGCTGTGATATATCAGCGAACAAAGCACATAAAAGTTTCTGTCCCCAACAACAGTTTGTATATATATATATATGTGTGTGTGTGTGTGTGTGTATCTCAAGGTTTTTAGTTGTACCAAACAGGCATAGAGAAAAATACATCTCCATCTTCTCAGAAGCTTAAACCTGTATTACCGTTTAAATGACAAGCTTACTTTATTTATTAAAAAATGAAAAGGCAGACTAAACATGATAGATGAGAGCCGGGAAGGCTTTAGGGAATTATTAAACCTTGCACACAAACACACACACACAGAGTATAAATTTGTGAAAAAAATTCCATTATTTTTTAATTCTATTTTTCCACACAAACTTGATGAAGCCCTTTCATATGCCAGTATATAAAGATAAGACATTTATTATAGAAAAGATGATCACTGTGGAAGAGCTACAAAGGAAATCCAACACTTTATAACTCATATTCTCCAATGAGATAACTGAACCAATAAAACAGGAAGAGTACCCACAGCTGTAACAAAAGACAGATGCCCGACGTATTAAAAAGGAAACGAAAAAACCCCTAGAATTTAGAGATCCAAAATACAACAGGAAATAATATTCTAGTCCTGGCATTCCACATTCTTGAAGGAAGAAAGTGATCGAATGTCAAGAATTAATACAAAACCCAGCAAGAGGATTTCTAGGTAGAAAACAAAAGCAACTTCAAAATGGCCAAAATCTCACTGTGGTGGACACATGCTGAAGGCAGTTCAACAAGGCGTGAGTGAAAGGCGAGGTGGTTCGGCCTGGTTACAGTGAGCTAAGTTGTCCTTCACACGAGCAAGTCACAGAGAACAAGGAGCCCGAACCTCAGGAGCTCGGGCTCCCAGCAGCCTTCTGAAGCAATTACCAGGTGATGTCTAGCCAACAGAGAGGGAGAGCCAAAATAGAGAACCCAGGTATGGAGAAATTGTGATGGAAGGCTTACAGGCGGGTTGTAATTATATTTGCATTTGAATATTGAACAAATGATAATGAGTGTAAATTACTGTTTGAAAAACAGTGAAATTTTGACATCATTATTTTACTTTCATTTTTGTACTTTCCCTCATCATTTAACATTTTAAATAACACTCATGCACCCTTTCCTCAAAATAATAGTTATTAGTATTAAAAACTATTAGTCCCTCAAAAATACACATTAATTAAATTTTTCTTACGTGTATTATTTTTAGATTCTTATAAACTTCATCAGTTTAAAAAATAGCTCCTTTGCTACTGGAACAAATATGAAATTTCAAACGTGTCTGCATATTAAATAAAAGTCTTATAAGGATTATCACAGAAACAAAATATTTTGCTGCCAACTGTATATTATTAATAGTAATAAAATAACATCAGGATTAAAACTTAAATTGGTTAGAAACTTAATTCCTAAACCCTGAACGGCCTCGTTATTCAGTCTTACAATTTTACTTCAGTGTTTCTATTC